GAGGATGCCAGCATTTCAAGTGGAGGAAGAGGAATTGCCACAAGAAACCGAGACAGAGTGACCAGGGAAGAGAGGGAAAACCATCTCTGCCACCAGACTGGATGATCTCTAAGGCCTCAGTCGCCTCTGACATGCTGTGGTCCTGCAGAGCTGGGATTTGAGCCAGATCTCAAAAGCAAAGCACATGGATAGGCCATGAGAACAGAGAAGGGCATTCCCAAGGAATATTACTGTATCAGCCAAAGTCCCAACAAGAAACAGAGGACACACTCAAACTGAATAATTTGAAGAAGTTTTAATAAAGAGGCTATTCACAAAGATGTGGGGTGAGTTTTGGGAATGCAGGACGGCAGAACTCAGGCATGGGCCACAACAGAGACCCTTCACCACCCCAGGCCTAGGGTCCGCTGAAGGGGAGAGCAGCTGAGAATAAGGAGCTGCCTGAGAGGAGCTGTGGCCTTCTGGACCAGCTTCCTCCCTTTCTCCCTGCCCTCTGGCTTCTCACCAGGGCCTGCTATTGGCCAAACGTGCGCCCGAGAGCAATAGAGCCCGTGGGCGCAGTTTAAATATGTTATGTTCCTGGGGCACGGAGCAAGGCAGAAAGTGGATGTAGAGGGGCAAACAGAAGATATCTGGAACAATTATCTTGAAAAATGGAAATATATGGGAAAGAGAGTGTCTTCGTTTTCTGTTGCTGCTGTCACAAATTCAGTGGCTTCAGGCAACAAGGATTTGTTACATTGCAGTTTTGGAGGTCAGAAATCCAAGACTGGTGTCACTGGCCTAACGTCAAGGTGTCAGCAGGTCTGTGATCCTTTCTGAAAGCTCTGGAAGAGAATCCATTTCCCTTTTTTTCCCCAGCTTCTAGAGGCCAGCCGCATTTCCCAGCTCTCAGCCCCTTCCTCTGTCGTCTTCAGAGCCAGGAATCATATCACTCCACCCTCTGATCCTGTCATCACACCTCCTCTGGCTCTCCTGCCTGCCTCTTCCATCTTTTAAGAGCCCTTGTGATTCTGTTGAACCCACCCAGATAATCCAGGATAATCTCTCTATTTTAAGATCCTTTATTTAACCCACCCGGTCCCTTTTGCCATGTAAAGTAGTGTATCCCCAGGTCCCAGAGGATTCCAGCTTGGACATGGGTAGGGGGTCATTATCCTGCCTGTCACGGGGAGCCAATAAGCCTTCTGGCTGGAGTAGAGTAACCCCTGGGAAAGTAATGGAGACCGAAAGCAGAAAGTGCAAACTGAAGCCAAATTGTGGGAGTTTTGGATGTTAGACTGTCTGAATTTCATTCTGTAGACAAGAGGGAGCCGTTGTAAGTCCTTACCCAGAGAAGTGGCTTTTTAGCAGTGTAAAGAGAGATGACCCGATTGTGGTGTTCTGGTGGCTCAGAAGGAAGAACAGAAGCCATTCAAATGCTGTTAGAGTACTTCAGGCCCAAAGGACAGAGGTGCAAAACAAGAGTGACAGGAAGAGGGGTGGTGTGAAAGGTTCTGTACAGTCAGAATCTGCAGGAAATGCTAACCAGGTGGCCATGGAAAGAGGGGGAGAATCGAAGGGTGGTCCAAGTTTTTAAAGTGAGTGACTGGTAGATTAATGATAGGATCTAGAAAATCAGGAAAGCAAGTCAGTTTCATAGAAAAATGTGAAGTTAGGAGGATAGCTTTAGAATCCTGGACTAGAAGTACAAATAGAATCTTACCAGGCCTAAGATATCACCAATTTAAAACACACCAATATTTTATGTACCACTAAGGAAAAAATGCTGCCAGATAAAATATGATACATGCTTCCTTAAAAACATAATTTTCGGGGCACTTAGCGGCTCAGTCGTTAAGCGTCTGCCTTTGGCTCAGGTCATGATCCCAGGGTCCTGGAATCAAGCCCCAGGTGAGGCTCGCTGCTTGGCGGGAAGCCTGCTTCTCCCTCTCCCACTCTCCCTGTTTGTGTTCCCTCTTTTGCTGTCTCTCTCTGTGCCATGTAAATAAGTAAATAAATAAATCTTTAAATAAATATATATATATAATTTTCACTTTATTGAAAGAACAGTTTTAGACTTACAGAGACTTTTTTGAAATCTTTTAACTTAATTACAACAAATTGCATATATGTAAAGTGTAGAGTTTGCTAAGTATAAAGGTATGCATGCACCTGTGAAACCACCACAATCAAGGTAGTGAATAAACATATGTAAAACTCAAAATTTTCTTTATGTCCCTTCATGATCCCTCCCTTTACCCCTCCCTACCTCTCTCTCTTCCATCCCCAAGCAACTACGACTTTGTTTTATAACTGTCATATAACTGTTTTATAACTGTCATATAAATTACAGTCTCTAGCATTTTAGATACATGGAGTCATACCCGATGCATTCTTTTGGGTCTGGCTTCTTTCATTAGTGTAATTATTTTGATGTTCATCCATGTCGATGCGTGTTTCAGTAGTTTATTCCTTTTTACTTCCCAGTAGTTTCCGTTATGTGGATATACCATGATTTTTTAATCCATTCACCCACCAATGATCATTCAGTTTACTTATAGTTTTTGGCTATTTGAAATAAAGCTTCTATGAATAGATTTTTTTAATTATAGATCACACCAGGCATAGAAAAGGCAGATACAATTGAAATGAATTGGTTAATATTCTTAAAAGTTCTTCACGTTTAGAGTGTAACTTTTTGTATCACTTTTTGATTCACAATAACGAATGTCTTTTTTTTCCATCCAGTATTGCTGCTGCACCATCAAGAGTGGTCATTTAAAAAAAAAAAACAAACCTGTGAAAGAGCTAAAAGCCATTAATCTGGGCTTTTAAGCCCACTCTGTAATTATGTGGCACTAGCTTAACCTGCATCTTCCTTTGGGAGCATTGCTAAACATCCCTGAGTTGCCACCTGTCTCACTCCCTCCCCTTTAGGTTTCAAAAGAGTGGTCCACTATTTTTACAAGTCCCTGGGATTTTTGTTTTGTTTTGTTTTGTTTTCCGAATCCCTGACACCCATTCTTCTAGTTTTGAAGCTGGTGCTTTTGCTATTACGCATTCATAAGCAATGTCAGGGACATCTTGACTGCTGTTGGGCCCACAGTAATTGTAGGATCATCAATTGTAAAACACATCTGAATTTCAGAATGTTAAATGTGGGAAACTGTGTAATGTCAAGTCCATTAAGAAGGATGGTTTAGCCAGTTCATTTGATGGTTAAGGGCCTGGCAGATTTCGGTCTGTGCCCTGTGTCACATGATAAATTAGTGGTAACTGGGACTTAAACAGGGTACCCATGATCTAATTGGTCTCTGACTTTAGTGGGATGGTTTTTAGGGGAGGGTTCTGTTTATTTGTTCATTTTACTGTATTATATCAACGGAAGATTAAAAGAAGGTTGGCTAGTGGAAAAGACAGTTATGTTGTACATAGAAAAGATATCTAAACAGAAAACCACAAACTTGAATGTGGTGAGCAGTTGAATTAGAAAAGGAAGCAACATTCTAATAACTGTTCAGTGGCTCACCTTCAACTGGTCTCTTCCTATGCCAACCCATTCTTTATTCTTACCTTTTGAATTACTTTATGTAAAAAACTGGCTTCTCAGATGATTCCTCTGTTTTAAACATCTATAGTGGCTCCCATTTCCAACAGGACAGAGCCCAGTTTCCTTGGCAGGGATTATAAGGAAGGCCCTTCACAAATGTCCCTTTCTTGACTTTAGTTCTTTCCTTTCCCTGTAGCACACCAACCATTCACCAACACACCATCATCCACCTTTCTTATCTTTTGCCTTTGTTTATACTGTTCCTTTTTTCTGGAATAACCCTTCCCCACCCACATCCCCACTATGGTCTCTTCCTTCAAGGCTCAAAGGCAACCTCTTTTTCACAGTTTCCCCTTAACCCCCCTCCCCCACTTTACCCAATGATTACTTCATGTGTTTTTAGACCTATTTTATGCTTTACTTCTATTGTAGCACTTATCAAATGGCATTATCTCTATTTGTGTGTCTGAGCTGTGATCTTCTTGAAGAAGGGGTTGCATCTTGTTCATCTTTAGGTTCCTGCTTTCTAGGTGTGTGCCTGGCAAACAGTAGGTGCACAGCAAATACTAATTGTCTTGAAAGATCTGATTGAATTTAATATTGCCTAGGGAGAAACACAATCAGCTAAGTGCCTTGCTATTTCCTAAATGCAATATTATCCTTCTAGAGGAGAGATGGAAAATCCTTTGCAAGAAAGATGGGATTGAGTAAGAATTACATTCTGAATGGAAGTTTAGCAGTGAGGTAGGATAAAAGAAGGGGTTGAAAGGAGAGCAGACTAGAGGTTTAACGAACTAGGCAGCATGATTAAGGACACAAAAAAACACGAGACTAGAAAGAGAACAGGAGACGGGGGAAGAACAAAAAGAGAGGGGAAGTGTGGAGAGACTATGCAGTCAGGATGTTAGGATCTTACTGAGATTAATTGCAGGGAGTTACTGGACAATGCTTTCTCACATGGACGTTCCAAACTCTCTTTCCTGAATGAGCCCCATTTTATATTCTTCCCATCACTCTCTCCCTGAAAAGACACAAGTATGCTTCTTACGAAGGCCTTACAATTAGCTCATTGTTTTTCTCTGTTTTCTATGGAAAGCCGGAGGAGGCAGAGTAGTGTGGCAGAAAGGCACCCTGCACGCTGGGAACCAGGAGGTCTGGCACATGGCAGCTCTGGAGCCTCGAGCAAGGCACTTAGCCACCTTTGCCTCAGAATATTTGCCTGTCAGATGGGATAGTAGTATCCGTCCAGACTACCTTTCTGGGGTGTTTGTAAAGATCTAAGTAAGTGAAAGAGTACACATGGAAACCCATTCTAAGCTGTCAGGTCGCTCTGCAAACGGAGGTGGTGTGACCATTTTGTGGAATCTTTGTCCAATAAAGACTCCATTGGCAGATAGCACAGGCTTTGTCTCCTGTGACTAAGTCCTGTTTGCTGAGTACGATCATGGTGTTTCTTTCTGATTGGTAGTATTCTGAAGTCTCAGGAGGCTGGCCTGTTTAAATGTCCGTGACCCATGAGAAGGACTTATAAGAAGCCATGGCACTCCCTTTTCAAAAAGAGCTGGAGAAATACAAGAACATTGATGAAGATGAGCTTCTTGGCAAACTCTCAGAAGAGGAACTGAAACAGTTGGAAAATGTTCTTGATGACCTGGATCCCAAGGTTCGTGAGCTGCAATGGAAACATCGTGGTCAGTGGTAGTAGGGGATAAATGGTGTGGCTTGGTCCTTAAACAAAAGTGTAGAAATCCCTTAGCTCCAAATACAAATTCCGTGTTCTTTCCCTGATTGGTTCTTGATCACTTACTCTGACAGATTCATAAAGAAACTCAGTAGCCACGTCTACAATATGATATGGCAAATTTCTCAAAAACCAATTTAATGTAAATGGTAAAACATATTTTCCATTGCTTGAGAAAGGACTGCTTTGACTTAGGGAAGAAGAAAGGAAAGAGGAAAAGTGGACAAATCTTACCAAATTTCTTCTTGGAGGTCTTATACCCTACTGGGCACAGAATCCCTAGGGGTAAATTATATTATTCCCATTTCATAAATGAGGGGAACAGATGTGAAGAAGTAATTTACAGAAGAGCTCATACTAGTAAACGTCAGAGATGCTATTTAAACCAGGTCTTTAACCCCCTAAGTAGATCTTTTTTATACTTCATTTTTTTAAAATGCATAAATAACTAGAAATCTTTGGTGATCTCACAACAATGGAGATGTTTGAATTATAACAACAATATCATGTGAATTTAAGTGGAGATTCTAATATTTTTATGAGCTCTTGAAAAACAAAGTAGCTTGTTACAGTGTTTGTTTCGCAAGCACTTTCTTCAGTCCTGATGGTATTTTCTGAAAATTAGAGTCAGAGGCATCCAAAGTAGTGATTTTACTATAAAGAAAAATATCACTAAAAATTATATATACAATGTGCTGATATGCCAGACACTTTGGGTATTTTATTTACTTTTTAAAATGTTTTTATCTTTGATAGACATTGGGGAGTGTATGTGTTGTAATGAGCACCGAGTATTATATAAGACTGACAAATCACAGACCTGTACCCTTGAACCAAAGAATATGTATACATAATTTTTAAATTTAAAAAATAGATTAAAAATAAATAAATAACCCAAAACACAGTCTTAAAAAAAAAGTTTTTATGTTTGAACATTAAGGAAGGAATCGTCCAGCTCAGTCAAGCAGGTGTCAGCATCTACCCTAATACTTGCTTATGTGCTGGGTGATTTCCCAGGAAAGAGGCTAGAAATAAGAGAGTATAGCCATTTTGGCTCCTTGTTAGTGTCTGTATGCCTGCTTGGGAGAACCTTGGATAGAGATCTGGCCAAACCCAAGTGTGATCTACGAGGAAGGAGGCCATGGAGGGTGCCTGGTCTTTTGCTACCACATTCTAGAATGCAGCTCTGAAGGCCCAGAGATGGCTCTGGCCGGCTGTAATCTGCCTGTGTGCATGGCGGGGGCTCCCTCTCAGCACAGGAGGTTAGAGCAGGTAGGGCCTCGGGCACGTGCCAGAGTCCCCAGCCCTCAGTGCACACCTGCATCTCTGCACAGGTGTCCTTCTCCCTGCCTCCCCCATAGACAGCAGGGCCAGGGGTGGGGGCCAAGTCCCAGAGTGTCAGTAGGGTGAACACCATCCTTCCTGCTCACATCTCTGTTTCGTTAGAGCGCACTGCTACCAGCTGGATTCCGACAGAAAGACCAGACCCAGAAAGCAGCCACCGGCCCGTTTGACCGTGAGCACCTCCTCATGTACCTGGAGAAGGAGGCTTTGGAACAGAAGGACAGGGAAGACTTTGTGCCCTTCACTGGAGAAAAGAAAGGTAAGGACTGCAGGCACCACATCCCGGGACTAAGGTACTCCTCATGTCTTGTCAAGGTGGCTCCAGCAAGTGAACTGACCTAGAAGTGGGAAAGAAGCCAAGAACTGGATTCATTAGTAAAAAGAATCATGGCTGGTAGAGACACGTCAGTATACTTTTGTCCAGACCTATAGATTGTGCACTACCCAAGAGTGGACCCTGACATAAACTATGGACTTTGGATGATAACGATGGCAACGTAGGTTTCATCAGTTGTGACAAACGTCGTGCTCTGCTGCAGGATGTAATTGGGGGAGGGTTTGTAAGCATGGGACAAGGAGTATATGGCAACTCTCTGTACTGTCCTTTACACACCTAAAACTGCTCTGAAAAAATAAGGTTTATTAGTTACCCAAAAAATTCTGTAAGAATAATATGAAAATATAGAAGCTAATTAAATTAATGCTCAAGGTACTCAAATTAGTTCTATGAAAAATATCTGAAGCCCCAAAGCAAAAGCTCTGGCAGTGTGAGGTGTTGTGCCTGAGAGAAGGTCTGGTAGGCATTGGTGCGTTGCTCTTAGCCTGAGCCTTTACCGGTTGCAGATATCCGCTCCAGGCCTTTCTGTTCCATGTCTAGGATAGCTGTGGCACCAGACCCCTAACCTAAGATGCTACTGTTAGAGACCAATGCAGTCAAGCATACCCTCATCCAGCATTTACCAAGCACCTGCTCTGTGCAGAGCCATGTGCCAGGTGTTGGCACCACAGTGCATAGGTTCCTGCCTTGCCCTCAGGGAGTTTCTGGTCTAGTGAGAGAAGCTCTGTGATTGTCCTGGAGAGGCTCCGAGGAGCAAAGGGATGTTCCTCCATGCTGGGATTGAGCTCAGAACCAAGACAGGGAAAACAGTCCGCCTTAGCTCCCAACCCCGGGCTTCCTTTGGGACAAAAAGTAGTTACCAAGAGCCTGTGTGGTTTCCTCAGCTACAGAGAGGGACTTGGGCCCACAGATCCTAACGGAATCATCTATATCCTCATGGCAACGACAGTCTTTTCAAAATGCAAATCAGATCATGTCGCTTCCCTGCTTGAAACCTCAAAGCCTCACTGTGGTCCTCAGCGCCCAGGGAGAGCTCACCTTACCCACTTCTCTGATCACCTTCCCCTGCCAAGCCTCAGCCCCGCTGTCTGCGTTCAGTTCCCCAAAACTGCCCAGCTCTTTTCCTACCCCGGGGTCTCCTCATGATCTCTTCCCTCCGACCCACGTCCCCAGTTTTCACATTCTTTAAGTCTGAGCTTAAACACCAGGGCTTCGGGCTTTCTTTTCCTGACCCTTCTGTCTAAAATAGATCCCTTCTCTCTGCCATGACACTCGTGGATTGCTTTCATGGCGCTACGTTCATCGTTTGATTTATTTACTTTGGGTTTTGTGCGTTTCCCACCTTAGATGAGGTCTCCACTGTGGGATTGTGTCTCTCTTGCCCCCCAGCATAGACGCTGGCCCAGGGGAGGCTCTTGAGAAATACAGGTTCGAATGACCGCTACCTGGGAGCGTATGAAGTGGCCTTGGGCAGCAGGAGCATGATTCCTCAGCTGGCGTGAGTCCGAGCACTGCTGCCTTCTGTTACACAACATCTGGCTCTCCTCTGAATCGTGCTCATTTGATGGATCATGCACCACTGATCGTGTCAATTTATTAAGAAAGTGATGTTGGACAGTGAAATATTGGGCAGATAACTAAGGATTACCATAGAAATACGGAGCTGTCTCTATGGCAGTGTAGCTGCTATTGGACTGAGTTCATTGTGAAAGAAAAGTTACAATGTCAAATCTTCAATAAAATCCCAACAAACATCCAGTATTAGGGTAGTGACAATAATAAGGGGAAAACTTTGTCTCTTCTTCTCAGAGTCAAGGTCTGAGGAACAGTCACAGTAAATTATCTCTTGATCCAGATTAATCTGCAGGTGATTCACAGGGGAGCTAGGAAATAGGGGCAGTCTGAGTAGTAAATGGGGAGACAAAAGGGGTATACAGTTGCCCGGTGTAGCTTAGGAGAAGGTTGGAAATCAACACTGTTGGGCAAAATGCTCAGAAAGCAAGTTTTCCAAACAGAGCAGAGGGAATAGAGTAGAACATGCAGACCGCCCCCCCCCCCGCCCCACCACAGAAGGACCAGTGGGTGATCTGGAGGCAGTGGAAGCTACAGTAAAGGTCTCACGGGAGGGGTATGCAACCTCAGCTCTGAACACCGTATGCACTAAGCCCTCAGGTGCCTGGGCCACGTTTTACTCTCTGCAGTAGCTTTATGCACTTAGAACTTGTTTGGTTGCCCGCCACCCCCCCCCCAGGAATGATGTGCAGCAGCAGTTGTCCTAAAGTTCAAAAGCTGTGGGTCCCCTGTGCACATGGTGTTGAGGGTAATTCTGAACACTCATGGGAAAGTGGAATGTAGACATCTTGGTAACTCTGGAACCAAAGTCACTGGAGCCACAAAGAAAATGCTTCAGGTTGCAGATATTCTGAAAAAGAAATCTGGGACAAACCCCAATGTCTGAAATGTTATTGATTGGTTATTTTCTTTTCCATTTTCTATCTTCTAGCCATTCTCCTTATATTTTTCATTAAGCTCCAGTGTATTTTCTTTCTTTCTGGGGAAGGTGGCAATTTACATGATGGGGAGGCAGGAAGCAGGGTGATGGTCAGTGGAGGAGACATTGTGGCCAGGATACCCCAGTCTGACCACAAGCAGTGGTATTTCCCGAGGGTGCCCAGTGCTGCTTGATCCCTGATTTCATGTCTAGCCATTTGAAGATCTGGTCAGCTATCAAGAAGTCAGCAGCCCCTGCAACCAGGGACAGCTGTTGGAGAGGATTTATGAAGGAGAGTTACTGACTTTGGGTTTGACTTTTACCTTTCCAGTGGGAGTGGGGAGGGCTGGCCAGCCAGAGAGATCTGGAAAGAGTGTTGGTCTCCATTGGCTGAACTGGGAGCCAGCTCTGTGTTCTACCCAAGATGACAAAGAGAAGGCAGTGGAAGGGTGAGTCTATAGGGAACTCCAAAGATCAAACTGGAGGAGACCAATTTCAAAGATCATGCCAAGAAGAGAAGCTCCAGAAAAGAAATGAAGAGTGAAAAGCTGGCAGGAATTGGGAAAGAGTGTAAGCAGGTTTGGAGTATTGCTATGGCAACTCTGGGATGTCCTAGGTTTCCCCTTATGAGTCATTGCGCGCGTGGGATGTGGGTACGTTGCACTGGCTGAAAGTTAGGAGCAGGTAATATGCCATCCTCCCAGCGATGTGATCTTCAGAGGTTGGGGCTGAGGAGGTAGGGCATAGATGTCAGCATACTCAGACAAATGGAATCTGACTGCGAGGACGAAGTGGGAGGTGAAGGCAAAGTATCCCCATGTGGGAAGCACATTGTACCTTGCTGTTCACAGACCTCTACAACTTCTAAACACATCAATCCTGAGTTCTCCTTTTATATCTGACTTCCTTTGGTATGTCTGGAGAGTAGCTGTATCCCCGGGTCACTACGCTACTCCAAGTGACCCCAGATAGAGCATCCTAGTGGTCTACAATCTCAGTCTAGCAAGGAAAACTCAAGAGAGCTCTGGTTTGTCCCTCAGGAACCCCTGGGGCTGTGTGGTTGACTCTGCCTCCAGTATTTACAGGATCCAAGGGAAGAATACAAATAGAAGCCCATGTGCCATTTTTAATAAATGTTTAAAAACTAGTAAACTGTTAAAATATGTTCTATCCTGTCACGCATACACCTAGAAGCCCAGGATTCTTGGGCTTCCAAAAGTTCCATGCAAGCATATGGATCTGTCCTACACTGCTAGAGCCTCACACATATTTGACACACAGCCTACAGATTGAAGCTGCGTTCATCTCACTCACAAATAACCTCCCCTTGGCCTGGGGGTGCCCACTCCAGCAATGTGACATGCCTTTGGGAGGATGGACATGGGGAAGGGATGCATACAGGCCCTGGAAGCAAGTTCAGGGGTCTTTGAGCAGGGAATTCCAAGGTCCCAGATGCCTGGAGCGGAGCCTAGCAGGTGGGATTCTCGGTGGGAATGTCCCTTTGGCCCCATGACTTCTCCCTTTCTGTGGGGAGGAGGGAGATTGCAGGAGAGGAGGACCACAGTGGGCCCTATAAAGCATGGGGCCCATGGCAGGGCCTCTCTTGCCCAGGTCTAAGGGCAATGCTGGCAATCCATAGTAGAGAGGTAGAAACCACCGTTTCCTTCTACGTTTAAGGACGATAGTCTCCTCACATCTCTGTGTTGCAGAATGCAGGATTCCTCCTCTGACGTTCCCTCCCTCTAATGGTGGATTAATGATACTGACATTATCCCAGCAATGAAGGAATCCCAGTTGGGTGCTCAATGGGCCTAAGGTTTGGCTCTCAGTGGCTCTCAGAACTGCATTGTCTGGTCAGTCCTTTTACCCTGCCTTGGTCAGCAGCACAGTGTGGTTTTTGTTTTCCTTCTGATTTAAAGGGAGAGTCTTCATCCCCAAAGAAAAGCCCATAGAAACTCGTAAAGAAGAAAAAGTGACCCTTGACCCAGAACTGGAAGAAGCTTTGGCCAGTGCCTCCGACACCGAACTCTATGATCTTGCAGGTTAGTCCTCAGCTCTGGGACACTTTTCTGTCTGGCTCTGGACCTTCAGGCACACACTGGCAGCAGCCTCTGGGCTTTTGGATAACTACTCATCAATATTGCAATACCAGGTGACTTCAGCTTGTATGTAGCCGTCAGACTTGACGGAAGTGACTTCACCTCTCTAAGCAAATCTTACTTTGCTGTATCTCAGCTGTAAAATGTAAAATCCTATTTCGGCTATAAAATGCCCTAATAATACCCTTCCTACGAAACTCAAGAGTTAGAGAAACCAAAAAGAAGGAATCTAAAAGAGTGTTGCAAACTTAAACAATGAAATAATAGCCCTTTCTCTAAGAAGCTTTCACATTTGGCATTTTATCGCATCTTACCATCACGAAGCATCTGTGAAGTTCCTGCTCTTCCCCATGGTCGCTGTTCCATTTTGATTGCCACGAAGAGGGCTGTTAGCCTAACCACAGAGCAGGAGTTATTTACCATTACACCCACACAGTAATGAAAGCCACATTCAGCCCGATCTGCTCATCTTTGTCAAGCTTTCTAAACAGTAGCAACAAAATAATAATTGGTGTTATTATTTGAATTGGTTACACATGCAGAGAGACAAAACACACATGGTATAAAAGAATGGATACACGAGGTGGCGCTAGACGTGGTAGACAAAGAATGGGTAGACAAGATGGCATTAGATTAGGGGTCTGCAAACTGCGACCTGCCTCCTGGGCTTGTAAATAAACTTTTACTGGAACATAGCAACAACGACAAAAGAATATGTCATGAAAGTAAGTTTCTCACCCTAATTAAGTCCTCTCCCATTTTCTACTATATTGTTGGAGAAAGATCCCATGCATCTACCAGCATATTTATGCATTCATGGGATGTGTTTTTTTCCCAAGTGGGATGTAAATTTAGATTATTAGGGTCATTAGGTCACTAGAGGTTAAGGTGCTTTAAAAATAGCCCATAGTTGGGTACCCGGGTGGCACAGTTGGTCAAGTGCCCGACTCTGGATTCCGGCTCAGGTCCTGATCTCAGGGTTGTGGAATCAAGCCTTGAGTTGGGCTCTATCCTCAGTGTGGAGTCTGCTTGAGATTCTCTCTCCATCTCCCTCTACCCCTCCCACTTGTGCTCTTTCTCTGAAAAAAAAAAAAAGAAAGAAAGAAAGGAAGGAAGGAAACCCCCCCCTTTTCAAGATTTTATTTATTTATTTGACAGACAGAGATTACAAGTAGGCAGGCGGGGCAGGGGGATTGGGGAAGCAGGCTTCCTGCTGAGCTGAGAGGACCCTGGGATCATGACCTGAGCCGAAGGCAGAGGCTTTAACCCACTGAGCCACCCAGGTGCCCCAAGAAAAAAACCTTTAAAAAAATAAATAAATAAAAAACAGTCCATGAGCCTTAGCAAGAATCCTCACATCTTTATTCCACAGAAAGACATTTGTAATAATAATCCATCCTCCCTCCCAGGAGAACCAGCTATGCCTTATTCTAATAGCATGCCTACTATCTCAGCTACATCTTCATTCCTACTGTGATGACGTCAGTGGTCAATACAAGTTCACATATTTGAACCTCTCTGAGAAATCACCGCAGGATGGGGTGCCTGGGTGGCTCAGTCATTAAGTGTCTGCCTTTGGCTCAGGTCATGAGCTCAGGGCCTGGGATCCATCGAGCCCTAATCAGGCTCCCTGCTCAGTGGGAAACCTGCTTCTCCCTTTCCCACTCCCCCTGCTTGTGTTCCCTCTCTTGCTGTGCCTCTCTCTGTCAAATAAATAAATAAAATAAAATTTAAAAAAAGAAAGAAAGAAAGAAAAAAAGAAATCACTGCAGGAATTGAAGCACCTGCATCACACAGTTAAGAAGGCATTTTGCAGTGACCTTTCTTCTGAGCCCTTTGGTTGCTGTGGAGAGATCCTGTCATGGTTACTGCTCCTCTCAAGGGTTGTCTTATGGTTTCTACTAGAATTCCCCAAAGGGAGAATGCAGGGCTGGGCTTGAATTCCCAGGAAATGCTTAAGAAAGGAGAAGGAGAAAAATACCAGTCATCTGGAAGAGTCTAGATTCTGAAATTCATACAATAAAACCAGGGGAATACTCCAGATAGAAAACTGTCTTGTTCCTTTCTGCTTACCCTCATTCCCTCATCAGATACTCCCTTAAAACTCGGGAGAAAGCCCACCTGGGGGGTGGGTGACAGCATCTTCTCTAGGGTGGATCTTTCTGGAAGGTTGAGAGCAACCCCATGAGTGAATGGGCTGACAGCCAGTGAGGTTTAGGTAAGAAAGAGTGCCAGTACCCTGTGCATGTTGTTCTGGCTGGTAGAGAGCAGAAAGACAGTCACCAAGGGAGCAGCAGCTAACTTCCAAGACAGCCCTTCCTACAGCAGCTGGAGCTCAGCATGGTCACAATTCTGAGGGTCTAGAGAGTCCATCTTGTCAGTGCACATAGGAGCCGTCAGTTTGAGGCTAATCTACTAGCCAGATTCACAGGGAACGGATGAAACAAAAGTTAAAAGTTGGCAGTGGGAGCCAAATTATAATTAGAAGTTGCTTAGTGAGTATAGGGCCAAAGCAAGATATATTTGGATGATCCGTGGCCTATGTTTATTAAATAGGGTGTCTCCTCTCTAGGCAGTGCCAGATACATGGTGAAAAATTCTTATTTATTTAACAAGAATTTGTAAAGTGCTCAGAACAGTGTCTGACGCATGAGAAGTGATTTCCCCTTTGTAACACTTAAAGTATAATTATTTTCCCTACCTTACCGATGATGAAGCATGCTCAGAGGCATTTAGAACTTCCCAAGGCACACAGGTATTATGGGACAGAACCAGGATTCCAGATCTGGCTGACTGCTCCCGAGTGCCGCCCTTAACCCTAGACTTGCTGGCTCTAAACATTTGCCCTTTACTAGGCTGCTGCTGGCTGCCTCCCTTCTCCTGATGTGTAGATTACAGTACAGCTGAGGAGCTCTGAGATATTCCTCTGCCTCCTGCTGACAGATGACCTGCTCTGGGATCCTTCTCCAGGCTGCCAGTCTCTTTTGTATAATTTCATTATCAAAGGCAGTGGTTGTCTTTCAGCACATTCTGGCCTGGTGCTTCTTCTTCCATCCTTTGCTGCCTCCTGGTGTAAGCTCCCCATAATACAGGAGCTGCAAAATCTCGGTATGCGTATCCAACCTTTTACTGCTGACATCTGTTTTCTTTCCCATCCCACAGTGCTCTAAACTGGAGAGAACAACTGCTGTTGGTACTGAGAGATTGGGGTGGCTTTCCCTGAAAGAGGCCCATGATCTTTCTGCCGTTTGCTATAATCTGTATAATGTTAGATCCTACAATATCCTTAGACTCAGTCCCACACTCACATTTTACAGACAAGAAAACAGAAAAGTTAAGTCTACTTAACTAGGAGGTCTAAGCAAGTTTTCAGTAACTTGAGGCATAACTAGACCACTGCCCTGCAGATGAGTCTCCCTGTATAGCCACAGAAAGACATGTGAAGATTGCTAGTGGCAATGGAGAAGGATTGGAAAGGGATTTTTTAAAATATGCAAGGTTATTCAACACTACATGTGTCCCACACACTGTGCAAGGCAAGGGGGTTCTGGACCCCTTTATAAGGGGCAAGGGGGTTCTGGACCACTTACTTTATAATATGAAGAGTTGATATTCAAGGGGCAAGTTAACATTGTGGACATCCTAACATGCCTTCCCAAGCTTATGATACATTTACTGATTATCTTTGTTCTAGCTGTTCTTGGGGTACACAATTTACTCAACAATCCAAAGTTTGATGAAGAAGTGACCAGCGCTAAAGGTGGCAAAGCGCCTGTGAGAAGTAAGTTAATGTGGAGTCCATGGTCTATGAAACTTGGGAGCTCCAAGAGTTTGTTGGTAAGAGGGAGGCCTATTGACTGGGCTGCCTGTTGAATCAGATTTCTGCCCTGTAGACTCCGCAGGTGGATTCTGTCAGTTCGCCAAGGGTCAGTCACTGGAGAAGTGTACAGTTTATTAGGTTCTCTCACTGACTCATTCATTAGTCATCTACTGAATACCTACCGTGTGTCAGGAAGGTTCTAGGCTTAGGTAGAAAGATAAAAAATGGCCTCTGCCCAAAGGAACTTACCTATCCAGGGTTAGGATGGACCAATAAAATCAGGTAATTTTGCTCCAGCATGATCTAGGTGCTGTAAAAACTTACAGAAGATCACAGCTCTTCTTATATTAATTGTATTTTATTCTCTTTGAAGGAGTTTTTGAGCAGGTACTTTCTAGTCTGAGCAGCATGTTTACAAACCATCATTTATACTGGGCTATTTATCCAGACCATAAGCAATGTTACTTTTCTTTTTTTTTTTTTTTTTTAGCTTTTAATATGTGTAGATGAAAATGTTTATCCTTTTAAACTTGGATATCAATGGGTAACATTCTGACAACATGTTGGCTATTAAGAGTGTGATGCATTGTCTTTTGGGCTTTTGTGCATATACATATCATTAAGTCTTTCTAAGACTATTTTTTTAGGGGAATTTTAGGTACACAGCAAAATTGAGCAGAAGGCACAAAGATTTCCCATATACTCCTTGCCCCTAATTCATGCACAGACTCCCCCAGTATCAATGTCCCCCATTAGTATGTTAGACTTGATGAACCTACCTTGACACATCTTTACCACCCGAAGTCCATTGTTTACATTTGGGTTCACTCTTGGGGTTTGGACAAATGTCTAGTGACATGTGTCCACCATTATAGTATCATGCAGAGTAGTTTCACCATCTTAAAAATAATCTCTGCTCACCTGTTCATCTTTCTTTCCCCAGCTCCTGATGACCACTCACCTTCTTATTCTATAGTTTTGCCTTTTCCAGACCATCATATGGTTGGAATCATACAATGTGTAGCCCTTTCAGATTGACTTCTTTCACTTAGTAATATACATTTAAATTTCCCCCATGCCTTTTCAGGCTTGATAGCTCATTTCTTTTTAGCACTGCATAATACCCTGTTGTAAGGATGTGTTTATCCATTCACTTACTGAATGGTTGCTTCCAAGTCTTGGCAATTATGAATAAAGCTTCTATAAACATCCATGTTTGGATTTTTTGTGTGTGTATATAAGCTTTCAACTCCTTTGGGTAAACACCAAGGGGCATGATTGCTAGATCAAATGATAACGGCATGTTTAGTTTTGTAAGAAGCCACCACTATCTACCATAGTGGTTGTAACATTTTGCATTCTCACTAGCAGAGAATGAGGATTTCTGTTGCCCCACGTGTAGCTAGCATTCGGTTTTATCAGTGTTCCAGATTGAGGTTATTCTAAGTGGGTAGTAGTATCTCATGATTTCCATTTGCACTTCTCCAATGACATACTATGTGGAGCATCTTTTCATATGCTTGCTTGCCATCTGTATATCTTCTTTTTTCAGGTGTCTATTAAGGTCTTTGGCCCAATTTTTACCCAGATTGTTGTCCTATTGTTAAGTTTTAAGAGTTCTTTGTGTATTTTGGATAACAATCCTTTATTAGATCTGTATTAATTTTAGTGAAATCCAGCTTTTCAATTCTTTCTTTTCATGGACCAAGCCTTTGGTGTTGTATCTGAAGAGTCATTGCCAAACCCTAGGTAATCTAGATTTTCTCCTGGGTTGTCTTCTAGGAGTTCTACAGTTTTGCATTTTACATTTAGGTGATACATTTTGAGTTAGTTTTTATGAACAGTATAAGGTCTATGTCTAGATTCTTTTTTTTTTTTTGCATGTGGTTGTCTCGTTATGTTAGCACCATTTGTTGTAAAGACCATCTTTTCTCCATTGCGTTGCCTTTGCTCCTTTGTCAAAAACGAGTTGACTGTTTTATGTGGCTCTATTTCTTGGCTCTCTCTTCTGTCTAGTCTTTCACTACTGCCACACTGTCTTGATTACTGTAGCTTTATAGTAAGTCTTGAAGTCTGGTAGTGTCACTCCTCTAACTTTGTTTTTCATTTTCAATATTGTGTTGGTTGCTTTGGGTCTTTTGCCTCTTCATATAAACTTTAAAAGTAGTTTGTTGATAAATACAAAAGAACTTGCTGGGTTTTTGACTGCAATTGCATTAAATCTATAGCTCAAGTTGAGAAGAACTGACATCTTGACAATATTGAGTCTCTCCCAGTATCTCTCCATTTAGTTCTCTTTTATTGTTTTCAATAAAGTTGTATCATTTTCCTCGTATAGATCTTGTACATATTTTGTTATATTTATATTATTTCCTTTTACATTAACTTTTTTTCAAACTGTGGTTCTCTTCTTTTATTGATACATGTAGGTTTGTCATATTCTTTTAATGAATAGGTAGCACCTTATTATGTGATATGCTGTAAGTTATTTAGCCATTTTCACATTGGTGAAATTTTGTTTATCATGTTTTGCTGTCACAAGCAACAGGTCAGTGAACAACTCTAATATATGTCTTTATGTGTCCATGCTATTTTTTCTGTAGATTAGACCTCTAGATACATAATTGTTGAGTCATAGAGTACCGACATTTTCCATTTTGATAGGTGAGGCCACATGACTCTCCCAGAAAGTTTGCATCAGTTTATCTTCTCACCAACAACATAAGACAATGTGTTTCCCTCCACATTGCTGCCAATGGCACGTTATCTCTTCACTTTTTTTTTTTTTTTGCTACTCAAAAGGTATTTATTTTATTTCACAGTTTAATGACTTTTTATATTTTTGGTTGAGTGGCAAAGACTCTTTTGATCATATTATTTATTCATTTCTAATTGACTTGTCTACTGATTTGTAGGAGCTCTGTATATATTGAGATATTAACACTGTGTATGTTTAATATATGCTGCAAGCATTTTCTGTTAACTGCTTTTGAGAATTGTTCCATTATGCCTTTCTATCCCTTTCTCTTTCCATATCTTTGTCAAAATTAAAGCTCCAAAATGGGTATCCGAGAAGGGTGGGTATAGTCAAGAGGCCAGAGGGGACACCTGGCTGGCTCTTGATCTTGGGGTCATGAGTTTGAACCCCATGTTGGGCATGGACCCTACTTAAAAAGAATAAGTAAGTAAATAAATAAATATTTTTTAAAAATATTCCAGAAGAACAGTATGGTTTTGGAAATGAAAAGACTCTATTTCTTTTTTGCATCTCAGATCCTGTGGCTTGATTATTATAGTCTGAAAGTAGTCCATATACAGCAGGTGAAACTGTAACTCCGAACCATATCATTCCTATGCTTACTTTGTTGAGAATAAGCTGTACTATCATTGATATTAGAGTATTATCGGAATCTGAGCATAGGAAGGAAAGTGTGTTTTGGGGGAAGTCATCTCTGATTTTGGCAGGAGAGCCCCTACATTTTCTTTTTTAAATTAAAATTTGTTTTAAAAAAAGAGCAAAAATAAAATTAAATTAAAATTTATGTGTTAGATGTGGTCAAAGGTGAGAAGGTCAAGCCAATATTTGAGGAACCGCCCAATCCTACTAATGTGGAAGTGAGTCTGCAGCAGATGAAAGCCAATGATCCCAGCCTGCAAGAAGTCAACCTCAACAACATTAAGGTATTTCATTATGGTTATTGTCAGTCACTTGATGTATCATGAAGTTAGAAAATTTAACAGCAATAACCGATTGCCTGCTTTCACACCTGGTTCCAGTCCCTTGTAGTCCTCAATTATGAGACAAGATATCCTGTTGCAAAGAAGGAATTTTTAAAAAGTGATTTCTGGAATTCTTTGGAAAGAATCGTAGTATTTGTGTTAAACATATAATATTGGTTACCTACTGCTGGGTAGTAAATTACTCTAAAACCTGGAGGCTTAAAACAACAAACATTATTTCACATAGTTTTTGAGTGTCAGGAATCTGGACTTAGCTGGGTAGTTGTGGCTCGGGGTCTCAAGTGAGACTATTAGTAAAGCTGTCATCAGGGGCTGTAATCATCTGAAGGCTTGACTGGGGTGGAAGGATCCACTTTCAAGATGGCACACTCATGCAGTTGTTGGCAGGAGGCCTCCTTTTCTCACCACATGCATGGGTCTCTCCATAGAGCTGTCTCAGTGTCCTCGTGTCATGACGATGTGCTTCCCTCAGTGCAAGCGGTCAAAGAGAAAAAGAACAAACAGGAAGCCACGGTGCCTTTTATGGCCTATTCCCTGAAGTTACAATTGTTACTTCTGCTTTATTCTCTTTGGTAATTAGTCATGTCACTCTCAAAGAGAGGGGAAAGAAGGGTATGTGTGAGATAGATAGGTGGACAGATAGAGGGAGAGAGAGAGAGAACATTGCCTGTATCTATTTTGTTGCTTCTTTTTGGGCCAACATTTGCCATTTAATAATAATAACTGGCTTACATTGAGTACTCACTCTGTGCCATACCCTTTGCTAAATACTTGAAATTCATTACAGTAGTTCCCTGTTGTCTGTGGTTTTGCTTTTCATGATTTCAGTTACCCTCAGTCAACCACAGTGCAGAAGTAGGTGATCCTCCTGACGTACTGTCAGAAGATCAGGAGTAGCCTAACCTTATATCACGGTGCTTATGTCATTCACCTCATCTCACCTCAGCTCACCTCATCACATGGGCATTTTATTATCTCACATCGCAAGAAGAAGAGTGAGTATAGCTATATTTTGAGAGAGAGAGAGACCACAGTCATATAACTTTTATTATAATATATTTTTATAGTTATTCTATTATTGGTTACTGTTGTCAATCTCTTACTGTGCCTAACTTATAAATTGAACTCTATCATAGGTATGTATGTATGTATAGGAAAAAAACAAAATACATATATTGTTTAATGCTATCTGTGGTTGCAGGCAGCCATGGATAAGGGGAGACTACTGCATCTCATTTAATCTTCAGTGCCACTTAAAGGGGTTAAGTTGCTCATGGCCACAGAGCTAATCTGTAGGCATCCAGGACTCATGTCAACCTCTAGTGCACCCCATGTTGCCTCCCTCCCAGTGGTCAGGACCATGCTGAGTGCTGTGGAAGAGGGAGTAGGAATCATTTGGCCTTTATTCTGAAAGTCTTATATTAGGAGAAAAACACTAAATAAATAATTACAATGTGATGTGGTAAACCCCCAAGTGTTATGGAATTGCAGCTGAGGAATTTTTTCATCTTGCCTAGGGGAGTCAATAAACAAAGGAGGTGATATTTCAGCTAGGAATTAATCAAAGAAAAGGACAATAGAATTTCCAGGTGAAGGGAAAAGCATACCTGAGGGTGTGGAGGAGAGAAAGAGCATGATATGTTTAAAGATTGGCAAGTAGGTCAGTCTGGCTAGAATATAGAGAATGAAAGAGAAAAGGAGGGAAATTGGGTATGTACATAATTTCTTGGCTAAAGTGAACAGAAAGGTGATGCTAGAATGTCTTATTGTGTTAGATTCCCTTATTAGACACTAAGTGGTGCTACTGGCCAGGAAGGCGTGATGGCTGGAAGATGGCTAATGAGTCTTTTAGAAAGGATTTAGCTATCTAAACCCATAAGGTATTTAAAAGCCGTGGGTCCTTGACTTGGGGTAGCTGGGACTACAGAACGGTTTATCAACTGTCTGTGTCTTCTTCATTTTAGAACATTCCAATTCCAACCCTGAAGGAATTTGCAAAAGCTCTGGAAACCAACACTCACGTAAAGAAGTTCAGCCTGGCTGCAACCCGTAGCAATGACCCTGTGGCAATTGTGAGTAAAATTTTAGAAAAAAATTTTTTTTAGAAATATAACCTAAGAGTGCCTGGGTGGCTCAGTTGGTTAAGTGACTGCCTTTGGCTCAGGTCATGATCCTGGAATCCCAGGATCAAGTCCCACATTGGGCTCCCTGCTCAATGGGGAGTTTGTATTTCCCTCTCACCCTCCACGCTCCCTCTCTCTCATTCTCTCTCTCTCTCAAATAAATACAATCTTAAAAAAAAAGAAATATAACATGAAAGTATTTAATTCAATAGAAACTATCTTTAATTTGTTTTACCAATTAACAATTTTTAGATCTGATAAATGTATTTTCTACACAGTTAAACACCATCAGTTATAATGAGACAATAACACAGAACCCAAATGTCGCACTTTGAATTAACTAAAATTTTGTGAGCACTACACTTTTAGGTGAAAGAAATAAGATTGGATTTGTCATTTAGCTAAATAAATATTTAGAGTTTGCTCTGCACTTAGTACAAGTTTTCTGAAACTTTTGTATCTATGTGAACATTCTGGCAGTCCATGGATATTATAAGACCCCCAAATCCCATAGGAAGTCAGCACATGTAAAAGTATATTTCATTTTAATCTTTGAAATGGATTAGTATGTTTCAAAAATACTTTAAACAATGAAATCTTAAAACACTTTTTTAACACTGTTAACCAGAATGTGAAAAGAATAACCAATCAAAAGCCCTGTTCCTGGGTGGGAGATTGGGTGAGCCTTGTGGTGGGTATTAAGGGGGGCACGTATTGCATGGAGCACTGGGTGTGGTGCATAAACAATGAATTCTGGAACACTGAAAAGAAGTTTTAAAAATAAATAAAAATTAAAAAAAAAAATGCCCTGTTCCTTCCATGCATTTTAGGTAATTCGACTAAATAAGGACACCCTGGACCCAAGTAAGCACTGCAACTATTACCACCATCAATGTTATTACTATTAATAGCTAACATTTCTTGGGCAATTAGTAAATGTCAGCTGTAATCTCTGTGCTTTACACACATCAACTAACCTAATCCTCACAGTAATATTACGAGGTATGTACTATTATTAGTTCCCAATTTAACAAATGAGCAGTCTCAGGCTCAGAGAGGTTAAGTATCTTTTCCAGGGTAACACAGCCAATAAGTGGTACCACTGGGTTTTTCTGGTACTATAAGCAGGATGCTTTAGCCATCAAGCTATGCTTGATGTACATTTGTACACCATGCCTCCCTGTCATACAATTGCTAAAATATGTCAGTTTGGGGCAGCCTGAGCATCAGGCTGTGGTTCTATAAACATCTAATGCTCCACCCTTGAATCAAGCTGGAAAAACAAGTTTTCTTGACTTGATGTGATTTAAAGTAACATGTCTGTTGGAAGACCTAAAATAGCGTTAAAAATAGGTAACTTGTGGGAGGTTCCTGGGTGGCTCAGTCAGTTAAGCATCTGACTCTTTGGATTTCGGTTCAGGTCATAATCTCAGGATGGTGAGATCCAGCCCCAAGCTGGGCTCTGCACTGAGCATGGAACCTGTTTAAGATTCTCTCTCTTTCCCTCTGCTCCACCCCTAAAAAATAAAATAAAATGAAATAAGATAAAATAAGTAAAATAAAATAACAGACAACATGAAAGTAGTGGCTACCTATCCCAGTGCTGGCACAGAGTACATGTTCGAACACCACTTGTTAAAAGAATGAACGAACACGCCCCCCAAATTCTCAGCAATCAAGACTATTTCCATGCTGTCAACAGCATGTGTAAAATAAGTATTTATGTAACAGGGACTAAGCTACAGAACTGATGTTTTCACCAGCAGTTACTACATATGTAAATGTGTAAGTTGAAAGCAGTTTTGAATTTGAAACCTATAATTAAAATAGAAAAAGAGAGGGTATCTGGGTGACTCAGTGGATTAAAGCCTCTGCGTTTGGCTCAGGTCATGATTCCAGGATCCTGGGATTGAGCCCATCGAGCTCTCTGCTCAGCGGGGAGCCTGCTTCCTCCCCTCTCTCTGTCTACTTGTGATCTCTGTCTCTGTCAAATATATAAATAAAATCTTAAAAAAAAAGAAAAAGAAAAAGAGCAGAACCAGATCATCGGTAAAGGATTTAAGGATTTTTATCAGTATATGATTTATATAACCTCTGTTGTTTGGTAGATTTGTTTTCAATAAAGCAAAATATTCGCAGTACATTTTGTATCTAAGTGACTAAGGGGATGAATAAAGAAATGATTGTCACCTCAATATAATACGTTGCAGTAAAATTGCAGGGATGGAAATAGGTTATAGTCCATTGTCAGTACCACCAGCTAATAGTCTAACTCTTTTACCCAGTCAAATAGATAACTTGCTAAAGGACTAAATAAATTATAAATCTAGTAAACTCTTCCATACTGTTTCTAATGCAGCAACCATGTGTTGATTGCATATCATGTGACAAGCACACCACACAACTGAAAGGAATAGTTGCAGTCCTTAGGATGTGAAGCAACAAGCCTCTCTGGCCTGATTCCTGGGTGGGATCCTATGGTCCAGCCCTCACCTGGTAGCCCTCAGATGGTTCTCTTTTCAGCCATGCCAGATCCAAGAAAGAACCTTTCTGTAGGTTGAAAATTTGTTGATTACCCCAGAGGCAACAGAGATCTTCAAAAGGTGATTATGACTGAACAACTCACTGTAAAGAATTAAAGATGGGGGCTCCTGCCTGGCTGGGCTGGCTCAGTTGATACAGCATGCGGCTCTTGATCTTGGGGTTGTGAGTTTGAGTCCCACTTTGGGTATAGAGATTACTTTAAAAAAAAATAAGAAGAAGAAAAAAAGAATTAAAGATCAGTGTTAAAGCAAAGAATTTCAAGAAATTTTTCTTTTTAAAATTCACAAACAGAAGGGTGCCGGTACGGCTCAGTCAGTTAAGTATCTGTCTTTGGCTCAAGTCATGATCCCCAGGTCCTGGGATTGAGTGCCACATTAGGCTCCCTGCTCTCAGGGTAGCCTGCTTTTCCCTCTCCCTCCACCCACCTCACTCATTCTCCTTCTCTGCCCACCCTGCCCCATGTCAAATAAATAAAATCTTTTAAAAAGCTGCAGAAAATTAAGTTCAGAAACAGATTCAGTGAGGCACTTGTGGGACTATTGTGAATGTACGCAGATTATGTGTATGTGAGATGGCGTTATCCCCATTCTACAGATGAGGCAACTGAGGCTTGAGTAACTTCACTAAGATTACACAGCATGTAGACAAGGCAGGACGTGCATTTAAGGACCCTGTAGTCAAGTTCAGTTCACCATGCCCCAAGCACTTCTGTGTAGCCACATCTTTAGCAGGGAGCAGAAAAAGTCCAGATACATTAAAAAATGCTTTTACTATTAACAATGATGCCATATAAAAGTCATGAGTTTAGGATGACACTGTTCATAACAAATAAAATGAGAGCCACAGATGTAAGCCACAGGTATGATTTAAAAATTTTTCTAGTAGCCACATCAAAAAAAAAAAAAAAAAAAGAAATCAGTGGGGAGGAG